TGAAGGGCCACATGTTCTCGGATGCTGCGCAGGAGGCAGAGATAGGTGGCAGCTTGGAAATGAAGCTCATGCTGGGCTCTGCACAACTTCTCACTGGTGACCTAGAGAAGCAGAAAGGTTAGAGTTAACACCCCTGCAACAGATACAGGTCTACATAGAAAGATTTAATAAAAAAGCTTTCTTATTCTTATTTTAGGTACTAGGGATTTAACCCAGGAGTACTTTACCACTGAACTACACCCCAGCCTTTTTTATTTTTTATCGAGACAGGGTTCCACTAAATTGTTGAGGCTGACCTCCAATTTGTGATCCTCCTACTTCAGCCTCCCAAATCACTGGTATTACAGGCTGCACCACTATACAGATTTACAAATATGCATGTTTCTATTTTTTTTAATGTTTATTTTTTAGTTATAGTTGGACACAATACCTTTATTTTATTATCTATTTTTATGTAGTGCTAGGGATAGAACCCAGGTCCTCACCGGTGCTAGAAAGCACTCTACAGCTGAGCCACAACCCTAGCCCTGCACGTTTCTATTATCTCTGTGCAATTTGCTCTCTAAAGAAAGCCTGTTTAAGCCAAGCACAGTGATGGCACACATTTGTAATCCCAGGGGCTCTGGAGGCTGAGACAGTTGGATCTCAAATTCAGGCCAGCTTGGGCAATTCTGAAGGACCCTATCTTAAAATAAAAAGGGCTAGGGATATGGCTTAATGATAGAAGGTCTCTGGGTTCAATCCAGTACAAAAAAAAAGCATATATGTATAATTAAAATATTTATAGGAGCACTCGCAATAATTGTGTTCTTTTTTATTAGCACATTATAATAGTGGAATGTTGTTATATATTTGTATATGTAGACAATATAATGATATAATTTGGTCAATTTCATTGCCCTGTACTTCCCCTTTTCCTCCCCTCCTTCCCCCACCCCCTTCCCTCTATTCTGTTGCTCTCCCTTCTATTTTCATGAGATCCTCCAATATCACCTTTTTTTTTTCCTTTTTTTCTTTCTAGCTTCCACATGAGAGAAAATATATGACCTTTGACTTCAATTTGGTTTTGGCTTATTTTGCTTAATATAATGCTCTTAAGTTCCATCCATTTTCCTACAAATGACATAACTATACTCATTTATTAGGAAAGTTCACCTCCACTTAATCAAAAAGTTTTGTTTATTTAATGCTGGGAATTGCATCCAGTGCCCTGTACATGCTAATAAGCATGTGCTAACCCACTGAGCCACACCAGCCTCAGCCTTAACAAGACTGTTTGGGTTTTTTTTGTTTTGGGTACTGGGGATTAAACCCAGGACACTTTACCACTGAACCATATCCCTACCCAGTCCTTTTTATTTTTCTTTTTAAATTTATTATTTTTATTTGGTACCCGGGATTGAACCCAGGGGCACTTAACCACTGCACCACACCCCCAGCCCTTTTTTGTATTTAGAGAAAGGGTTTCAAGGAGTTGCTGAATTCGCAATCATCCTGCCTCAAACCTCCTGAGCCACTGGGATTACAGGCGTGCGCCACCACACCCAGCTTATTTTTTGAGATTGGGGGGGGGTGTGTGGGGTGTGGGGTGTGTGTGTGTGTATATGTGTATGTCACTAAGTTGCTTAGGGCATTACTAAATTGTTGAGGCCAGCTTTGAACTTGTGATCCTCTTGTGTCAGCCTCCTCAGTTGCTGGGATTACAGGCATGTACCACAAAGCCAGCTTTTTTTTTAAATGGGGAGGGGGAGTTGGGGTGGAGGGAGCATATGTTGCCCAGGCTGGTATTGTACTCCTGGGATCAAGCAATCCTCCCTGCCCCCATCCCCAACAGCTGGGACTATAGGCATGTATAGTACATCCAGCAAACACCTTGAGGTGTTTAATTGAGTATTTCTAAATTTTAATACTGGAAGCCATAATCCTTAGTTTCAACTCCTTCATTTTACAAATGAGGAAACTAAACTCCAGTTGTTAGCTAATGGCAGAGATTAGAACTACAATCAGGTCATTGATCGTTAATGCCACCTAAGAAATATAATATTGAATTTTCTCCCCTTCAAACAAAGTGCTGTTTCATTTTGTTTCTGTACTTTGATTAATATGGCATATACCTTTCGTTTCAAAATTAAAGACTTATTTTGTCTGAAAAATAACGACCTTGTCCTCAATATAACAAAATGATAGTTTTATATACAAAAGTAATATGCATGTGTTTATAGTACTTAAACTTGCTCTCATGGGGATGTGGCTCAGTGGTAAAGCCCTTCTGGGTTCAATATCCAGCACAAAAACAAAACAAAAATTTTCTCTTACAACTTATCCATCTGAAAAATCTGGGCTCTAATGACTTTTAAGAAGCTGGATACTTCCTGGTGTGGCACGCCACTAAGGCAAGAGTATTGCAAATTCAAAGCCAGCCTCAGCAATTTAGCAAGGTGGTTAAGCACCACCCCTGGTGTTTAAATCCCTGGTACCAAAAAAAAGCAAGCTGGAAACTTCATATCCACTCCAAAGTCTCAGTGAAATGTAGTATGTTGTCCTCTGCTTATATATTTTTGTGTTCTAAGGTTATGAGAATGGGGCAGAAATAGTGGGGATGTGCACATATATGGGGATGTGTGGATTAGTCCCTGTGCACCATTTTCTGCATAATCCCATTTCTTTCTCTAAATATCTAGGATTAGAATCTGAAAACTAAACTATATGCTATCATATATGTGCAAATGGCAGTCATTAGTTACATCAAATTTAAATTAACTTTTGTTGAATTCAAACTTAGCAACTTTCTTAGCCTCCTGAGTTGCTAGGATTACAGGTATACACCACTACATCTAGCTAAATTTTCTATTTTTATGTTTGTTTTGCATGTTGTTGGATATTAAATCTAGGGTCTCAGGCATACTAGGCAAACACTGTACCACTGAGATACAACCCCAGCCCTAGAATTTCAGAGCAATTTTAGAGCCACTATCAAACTTCATTCAAGAGCAATAATGTTACCTCCATAAGATACAACAATAATCATGTCACCCCTTAAAAATCTTAGCATGTCCTTCCCTTATACCTACAATAAAGTTAGCCTTTTCATTTTGCAGTACTAGGGATTGAACCCAGGTGTACTCCACCACCAAATTACATCCCCAATCCTTTTCATTTCTTATTTTGGAGTAACATCTCACTAAATTGCCCAGGCTGACCTTACACTTGTGATCCTCCTGCCTCATCCTCCTGAGTAGCTGGGATTACAGGTTTGTACCTCCAAGCCCAGCTATACCTACAATAAAATTTAAATTCCTACCTACCTCCTACCTCATCTTCCACCACTACTGCACTCTAAGCTTCAACCATTCTCAACTTCAATTATGTTGGGCTTCTTGGCTTTAAAATACGCAGTTACTTTACTTGTATCAGCACTCTCCCTGATCCCCATTTACTTGCTAATTCCAATTTATCCTTCAGGCCCATACTTACTGTGCTCCTGAAAGCCTTCCCTAACTACCCATTCTTCCCAATTATTTACACCCTTAACACTTAGAAGTGTTTCACTGGATGGCTCCTAAGGTGGGATGTAAGTTTAAAATACAGGATTCCTGTACATCTCTTTTTTTTTTTTTTTAACTTTTTTAGTTGTAGATGGACACAATACCTTTGCTTTATTTATTTATTTATGTGGTGCTGAGGATCCAACCCAGGGCCTCATGCATGAGAGGCAAGCGCTCAACCACTGAGCCACAACCCCAGCCCATGTACATCTTATTCTTGGCATTTGGCCCAAGTTCCTAGCACCAGTATCTAACATTGTGACCTATTAAAAACTAGGTTAATTTTAAGATCTTGTTTTCTAAATTTCATAGCTCATAAATTCAACAGTTAAAATAATTCTCCTTGTCACATTGCTCAATGACAACAGGCTTCATTCCCTGAAGCACAAACGATTCTATAATATTTTACTTCTGAGATTGGTTGCAACTTTTTTCCAAGTCAGAGCCACAACTCCAAAGGTAGCAATCGGGAGAATTATTTTTGGGAACCAGCTAATCTAAATTCTAGTTGTTGTACTGATTCTTGCTCAAGTAAATGTCCCTGAGCCTCAGTTGCTTCGTTTTGAAAATAAAACTGTCTTCCACTCGCTTTAACCCAAGGGGGATACATGTTTACATTTATCTGCTTACACAAGTTTTAATACAAAAGTATCTGGTCATGCAGCAAGCTCATGCTGAACTGCATGACCAGATGTTCCCAGGGGCATCATTTTCCTAAGGGGTGCAGGGGACACCACATAGGTAAAGTAAACACTGTCGACCCTTCAGAAAGCTCCCAACATTCCCCGCCACACTGGTTTTCCTTTATGCCTCAAAGTTTGCTTCTCATAATGTCTACTGGGGGAAGGGTGGGGAGTGCCGGGAAAACGCTGTGCCTCTAAGTGTGGGGACACTACACCAAGCCTTATCTTCAGGCCGGTCCCCATTTCCTCCGCTTCTCTTCTTCCGACTTTTCCCTCGCCCACAAGCAGCAGAAGCGGCCAATGAACTCCTCCCGCGCGGCTCCACCCCTGCCTGCGGAGGGCCGCGTCGCCGCCCGGGCTTAGGCCGGAGCTAGAGCAGGTCCTGGGCTTCTGTAGTGGGAGCCGGGCCTCGACCCTACAGTGGTCCCGGGCAGCAGGCCCTAAGACCAGGTGCTCCCCGACACCCGCCCAGACCCGCCTTTTCCTCCCTTCCCGGGACGTGGTGCTCCCGGGACACGGTTTCCGTACCCGATGTGCACGGAAAGCCTTCACAAGGTACCGATAAGCCGCGGTGTCACGATAGGGTCGCCCGGTGGCCACGCTGAGGTAGCGCAACTCCCGCAGAAGGCCTCGCAAAGTGCGCGCCGGGGACCCTAAGGCCGCCATTTTTATGTCCTTTCCAGAGGTGGAGCCGAAAGGCGCCCTACGCAACTGCTAGCGCCCTCGCCCTCAGCTACCCCCGCGAGACGCTTAGTGGTACGGTCGGACTCCGACTGCCGGCTCCCACTGCACACGGCCAGGGTGAAAGGTCTCACTTCCCTGTTCTGCAGAGCCATATTAATCGAACACCGAGCGGCGCCCTCACGAACCCAGAGAAGAGCAAGCGACCGCTGAGTGTAACTGGGTACCGGGTCCTCCAGAAACGCTGCGAAAGGCCGATCGAGGGTAAAAAGGTCTTTTCTTGCCTGCGTACTTAAAAAGACGTTTTTAGCTGACCAACGGCCGATTCTCAGAAGTGGGTTAGGCGGGAGTGGATGAGAATTTGATACGGAACACGCTTTTAAGATTTTTTTTAACGCTATCTAGAAGGGGTATCGAAATTAAACGTATTCGTACCTCCCAAAAGCCTTAAGGGACTTATGGCTCAGAGGAAGGAGGTGAAATACCCTCATTCTTGCAAACGGTAGCTCAACAGCTAGTAAAACCACACATACACTATTCCATTTTTCAAAAAAGTAAAATGAAAGTGACTTACTTAGGTATAATCGTTTCAGAAAAGAGAAGAGAGCATCTTAAAGTAAAAATACAACCACCCCAGATGGGACTCGAACCCACAATCCCTGGCTTAGGAGGCCAATGCCTTATCCATTAGGCCACTGGGGCTTCTGCGAGCGAGACGCTCAAACATCATGTTCAATTTTTTTTCTCCTTGGTACGTCATCGTCACTTAAGATTATCTTTACCCTATCCTGAGAAGCCACACCTAGTATCAATATGAGGGTCGAAGCATGCTGGGAGTTGTAGTTTCGAAAACAAAAGCCCAGTTACAGCTCAAAGGATTTACCCTCGAAACAGCAGTCTCGGCGCAGAATGCTGAGCGGGCGCGCGCACGCACGCGTTTGCGTACGCGTTCGCAAAAGCCGTCGCCCCCGCCTGCGCAAAAGTGGGCTTGCGACGTCGCGGACCCGGGCGCGCAACACAAACTGATCCTTGAGACCCGCCCTCTGAGGCTTTTCTCCTTCGGGCTCTCACCGGAAGCAGTCTGGTCCTTTCCGGCGTGGTGGTTCTTTCGGGCATGGTTTTGCTCCAGCAGGCCATTAGGCGGCGTCTTCAGCGGTCAGTTTCTGCTTCCGGTTGAAGGCATTTCCGCAGAGCTAGGGACGTGTGGGAAACGTACGCCTTGTGTTTTAAGTTGGTGGGTCAACGATAAACATGGGGTCGCGAGAAATTTGTAGTTAACTAATTAGGAATTAGAAGTATTTTGGAATAAACTGAGTCGCTTTCGGGTTCTGCCCTTAATTGTACAGTTTGGACAAGTCCCTTTTATTCTCGGCGACGCTTGCCTTTAAATTTCTCAGTGGCTTTCCATTGCCCCAAAGACAGCGTCCAGTTTCCTGAAATTGACATACTGGACATCACCTAAATCGGCCCTAGCTTGTGCAGGCGCCATCTCCCATCGTTCGCCTCTTGTCAGCCTCTGCTCCAGGGATCTGAACTTCTCTCCCCCCACCTCCTTACAGTCACTGTACCTGTACCTTTTGCGCCAAGTCCTATTTGCCCTTGGGGTTTTGACTTACTCCAGTAGTCAAGGGTCGGCCCTGCTTGATGCACTCCATCTCCTTTGGCCTCTCGTTTCCCTTGGTTTATTCCTTGTACTATTGTGGTTGTAGAGCTGCGGTGGCCCTCTGCCTAACAGAAGTCTGTTCCTGCAGGCCAGTTCTGGAAGGACAGTCACCTCTTTAAGGGAAGCGCACCTTTTAGCCCTAATGGCTACACGACATTAGCTGCTGAGCAGAGTGATAAGCACAAATGGAACAGTAATGGTACCTGGGTGAGTGAAGCCGACTTGGGAAACTGGTGAACTGCATGTCACCTCGCCTGCCGTGCAAGGGCAGCCACCGTTTACCTCCATGGGTTGTTGTGGTCTAGGAAGACACACACTTTTTCGTCAAAAACGATAACTATTTTTAGAATACTCTGTCTTTCTTTCTAAATAGGACTAATACCCTAAAAGTACAACATGCCGAACGAAACACTTAGCTCACAGACTACTGGTTTGTAAAGAAAGAAGAAGAGAAAAAAGCGGGTAAGATAAGAAGATAAAAGTAAAAATAGTTCCTGTGTCTAGATCTTGGGAAAAGAACTTGCTTTGGTAATCTTGCCTTTGGGAAGAGTGTTAGGTGCAGGACAGGCTGAACTAAGTTGTCTGCAGGGCAGGCTGAACAAACGTTAGCTGCAGGATAACCCATGCACCCAAACCACCTTGTGTCTGGTCCTTTATCACCTATTTTGCGTCAAGTTTGAACACTCAACCCCCCCCCCCCAAGGCTGAACCCTTAACCCCGCTTGTGCCAACAAGGCAGCTTGCAGACCCAGAGACCCCATTAGATTTTAGCTATAAAAACTCCCTCCTGCCGGGCCACTCTCTCTTGCTCTGTCTCCCTCTCTTGCTTTTGTTCTCCATTGCTCTCTCTTTCTTCTCTTGCTCTCTCTCTCTTTTTCTCCTCTTTTGCACTGTTGCAATAAAGATCTCTTGGTCCCTCCAAGTGTTGTGGTCACTTTCCTTTCAAAGAGAAACTCCTCAGAAGAAATATAAAGAGTGAACTCGTGGGCTGGGGATATGGCTCAAGCGGTAGCGCGCTCTCCTGGCATGTGTGGGGCCCGGGTTGGATCCTCAGCACCACATAAAAATAAAATAAAGATGTTGTGTCCACCAAAAACTAAAAATAAATATTGAAATTCTCTCTCTCTCTCTCTCTCTCTCTCTCTCTGTCTCTTAAAAAAAAAGAGTGAACTCGTTTGTATTGATTTAACATGTGACATGTGAGACCCTGTTAATAACCCAGTCTCTTTATAAGTCTGTGCTCTTCAGTGCCCTCAGGTGATTACCATTCCTAGTTGAATTAGGGAATGTTAAAGCACAATATTGGACACAATACCTTTAAACAGTTTTCAGAAGTTTGTTTTGCATTTTGGATGTTCCCCACTCTCCATTCACATACTGAGGGTTTCCTATCATTTGGGCTATGATCTGGCCTCTAATTAGTGTGGTCTTGGTGGACTTGTAATAGTGGTCTACTTTATGCTTTGAATATAACCCTTGCTGCTCTGCCACTGCAACTTATTTTTAAAATGGACATGTTTCTTCCTCTCTCTTTGCTCCTCTGCTCCTCCCTAATCTCAGGGGAAACAAGATTACCTTTCTTCCCCACTTTAGGCAGATTTATCTGTCCTTGAGTACACACCTACCATTGCAAGGAACTAATTCAGACATTGGGGATGGTATCAGAAGATATAAGAAGTGAGTATCTCCCAAATTAACAAGTGGATTATAATTCAACAGAAACATGAGAAATGTAGCATTTGAATCACCTCTTCAAAAGCTCCCTCTTCCTGTTGATGGGCAGGGTCACAGCCTCTGGGACCAGAGTTCCCTGTGTTTCTCCTTTGCTAGCAAAACAATAAACCTTCATTTTCCTTTTTCTCAAAACCGTGTCCTCCTTATTGGATTGGCATAGGGGAAAAGGACCAAGCTTTGGCAACAGACTAGGCACAGGGGAAGCAGACACTCTGCTTTTATATTGCTTTTGCTCTCTATGTAAATAAACCATTTGGGTCCAATGGAGTCATTCCCTCATCTTTTGTGGGGCGGGGTCATGGAGATCAGTGATAAACTCAAGGAAACTTTATCACTGAGCTACATCCCCAGTCCTTTTTTTTTTAATATTATTTTTTAGTTGTAGTTGGACACAATACCTTTATTTTACTTATTTATTTTTATGTGGTGCTGAAGATCAGACCCAGGACCTCGCCTGTGCTAGGCAAGCACTCTATCACTGAGACACAATCTCAGCCCCATCCCCAGTCCTTTTTATTTTTTATTTTGAGACAGGGTTTTGCTAAGTTGTATTCTCTTGCCTCTGCTTCCCAAATTGCTAGGATTAAGGCATGTACCACTGCATCCAACCAATTTACCCCTTACTGACAAAATCGGTCTGGCAAGCCAATACAACATCTGCATCAGTGTTAGGCATTGAGATGCTGCTTAGGGACTGCTTGAACATTTGATAATAAGCCTGAATATAAAAGAAATCACATAACATTGGTGGGAGGGCATCCTGGGTATACAAATAGTAGTTAGAAATAAACTGGTCAAAATGTCCCTAAACAGGAACAAGTAAAATGTGGTATATCCATGCAGTCCATTACTACTCAGCAACAAAAAAGGGAAAATTAGGGGTTGGGAATATAGCTCAGTTGGTGAGTGCTTGCCTTGCATGCACAAGGCCCTCTGGTTTGATCATCAGCACCAAAAAAAAAAAAAAAGGGGGGGGGAATTAATGATTAATGCAATAAATGTAGATGAATCTCAAAATCATTACCCTAAGTGAAGCAAGCCAAGCACAAAGCTTACTTACTAGATGATTCCTTTATATATGATGCAAATATAGTGACAAAATGTCTTAATTTCAGTGGTGATTTTATAGTTAAACAACTAATAGAAATCATCAAGTGTGTACTTTTAAGACAGGTATGATGGGTATGGTGGCACACATCTAATCCCAGCAATTCAGGAGGAGAAGGCAGGAGGATTGCAATTTTGAGACCAACTGGGCAACCTATCCTGTTTGAAAATTTTTTTAAAAAAGGGTTGGAGATATAGCTCAGTGATAGAGTGCTGCTGGATTCAGTCCCCAGTATTTCAAAAATAAAAGATTAATCTGCTGTAATAAAGAGCCGTCAAATACAGTGACTTAAATAATGTAAAACATTCCTTCCCTCTTCTCTGATGGTCCACAGTGGTCATTCCAGGTTAGTCGTGCAGCTCTGCTCTAAAATGTCACCCAAGGACCCAACTTCCTTTCATCTTCTTGACCTTGTTGCCCCACCTCTCCTAGGGGCTGACCTCAAATTTGCAATCCTCATTCCTTAGCCTGCCAAATTGCTGGGATTATAGGTGTACACAATCGCACTTGACTATGAACACATCAAGTCTTTTATTTTAGTTATTAATATTTATTTTATTTTTGGTACTGGGGATTGAACTCAAGGGCGCTTAACCACTGAGCCACATCCAAAGCCCTTTTTTGCATTTTATTTAGAGACACTGTCTCACTGAGTTGCTTAGGGCTCTTAAATTGTTGAGTTGCTTAGGATCCTCCTGCCTCAGCCTCCTGAGTTTCTGTGATTGCAGGTATGTGCTGTTGTGTCCCAGTTCCACATTAGTTTTTAGGGATGTAAATGAAATAACCAAATGTCTACATGTACTAATTATCAATTTAATTAAGACTACATTTTAAATATGATCATGCAAAAACACTTTCTGAATCTATATACTATGTTACATAAAAGTGTTCTAGGGCTGGGGGTGTAGCTCACTTGGTAAAGTGCTTGCCTCAAAGACACAAGGCCCTGGGTTCAATCTCCAGTACCACTCACACACAAAAGTGTTCTAAACACATACCCATTTGCATAACTTTTTTGGAACCATGGATTGAATCCAGGGATGCTTTACCACTAAGCCACATCCCCAGTTTTTTGTTTTGTTTTGGAGACAGGATCTAACTAAGTTGCTTAAAGCCTTACTATGTCACCGAGGTTGAGCTCAAACTTGCTATATTCCTGCATTGGCTTCCCAAGTCACTGGGATTATAGGCATGACCTACCATGCCTGGTTCACATAACCTTTCTAAGACATTTTTTTTATTTTTTGGTTGGTTGGTTGGTTTTTTGTTTTGTAATTCATGATCTCCACTAAACAAACAAACAAAAAAACCCTCATGTTAATTTTTAAAGCAATTTTTTAAAGCCTTATTTTCAACATCAAGCACTTGAATAGTGTGGCCCTATCACACATTCATACAAAGAATAATCTATGTAAGATTTCTCTGCCACTAGCTACTATAAAAAAACATGAAAATTAACAATTTTGGCCAAGATGTGAAGCTACTGGAACCCCCATGCCTTGTTGGTACAATATAATAAGAAATATAGTTGGTCTTTGTTCTGTCTCCTGGCATAGAACTCCTCAAATCCTTGGAATTTTCTGGATGAGAAGAGCAAAAGGAGAATCTTTTGTTTAAATGTGATTCTCAGTGGGAATCTAGATAGCTTCAGGATGGGAGCTTCTCATCTGAAAGATTAAACCTTGATTAGAAGCTTATAACTTTCTGGCCCCACTTTATAACATCTAGGGAATAGAAAGAGTCTGGGCATTGACCTAATCACCCGCGGCCAGTGACTTTTAATCATTGTTTGTTTGTTCCTATGTATGATTCCACAAAACAAAGACCCTAAACAAGATTTGGAGAGCTCCTGGGCTAGTGAACACATTGAGATGGTGGGAGGATAGGGTACCCAGAGAGGGCATGGAAGCCATGCCATGGAAATGTATGCGCTTCTTCCATTTGGCTGTTGTTCCTGAGTGGTAACCTTTTTTTGGTACTAGGGATTGAACTCAGGGACACTCAACCACTGAGCCACATCCCCAGCCCTATTTTGTATTTATTTCATTTAGAGACAGGGGCTCACTTTTTTTTGCTGAGGCTGACTTTGAACTTGGGATCCTCCTGTCTCAATCTCCCAAGGCACTGGGATTACAGGCATGTGCCACCATGCCCAGCTCTGAGTGGTGACCTTTTTTTTTTTTTTTAAGATAGACAGCATGCCTTTATTTTATTTTTTATTTTTTTATGTGGTGCCAGCGAGCTAACCCAGTGACTCACGCATGCTAGGCAAGTACACTGCCACGGAGCTACAGTCCCAGCCCTGAGTGGTAACCTTTTAATAAACTAGTAATAGTAAGTAAATAACTTTTCTGAGTTCTGTGAGTCCTTCTAAGAAATTATCAAACTTTTTTCGACCTATACATTTTCAAATTTGTGTGTATGGGGCTGAGGTGGAAGCTCAGTGGCAGAGTGTTGCCTCGAACATGTGAGGCACTAGGTTTGATTCTCAGCACCACATAAAAATAAATAAATGAAAATATTGTGTCCATGTATAACTAAAAAAATATTTTTAAAAGTTTGTGTTTGGGGCTGGGGTTGTGGCTCAGCAGTAGAGCGTTCGCCTAGCACGCGGAAGGCC